AAAACCGGTCAATGTTCAAGCATTTCAAGGGGTAAGTTATGATCAAGACTGAGTGTACTGAAGGAAGACGTACAGGCTACACTGACGGCATCGGTAAAAAAACAAGGCTTCAGGAAATGAACAACTCACCAGTTGAGACATTTTAACAAATGGATGCATTTCTGGAAGTGCCTAAGAGAGATGGAAGCAATACAAGTGTCCATCAACAAATGAATGGATAAAGAAACTGTTGTACACTCACATAAGAGAATATTATGTAGCACTAAAAAAATAACTCATGAAACATCACAATATAGATGAGTCGGGAAGACATTATGCTAAGAGAAATTTGGAAGACAGCCACATTTGTACCTATACCAAAGAAAGGCAATATTACAGAATGCAGAAATTATTAAACAGTGTCAAAAGTAAAGTACTACATGTAAAGTTTGGTTGAAGATAATTCTAAAATTATTGGAGCAGTATATCAACTAGAAGCTGCCAGAAAGCAAGTTAGATTTAGAAAAGACTATGTAATAAGAGATATCATTGTAAAACATCATATGAATCTTGATTGTAAGCAGAGAATAGCAGAAAGATGTTTACCGATATTTTATTAATAATATAGAAGTATTCAAGTAGAGAGAAAGACTCAATACTGTGAAAATTACAATTCTACCAAAAGCAATCCAAGGTTCAATGCAATCCCAAAACAGACAATGATGCCATTTTTTAACAAGATGAATAAAGCACTTTCTAATTTTACATGAAAAATTTTACATAAAAGAGACCTCACATAAGCAATGTGCTCACCAGGTTGTGCCAAGAACTCAGTTGTGCTAAGAAGGACAGTTACCCCGCCATCTGACTGGAAGAAATTCACTTTTATTTCCATTTCCAAAAAAGCTGATCTAACAGAATATAGAAATTATAAAAAAATAGCACTAATAGAACATACAAACAAAATTTTGCTGAAGACTGCACATCGACAGAGAAGTTCCACAAATACAAACTGGATTTAGAAGAGGCTGTGACACTAGGGAGATTATGGCTGATGTCAGATGGATCTTTGGTGAAAGCAGAGTACCAGAAAGATGTCTATTTGTGTTTTATCAACTATGCAAAGGCATTCGTCTGTGTGGATCACAGCATATTATGGCTACCATTGAAAAGAATGGGAATCCCAGAACACTTGATTGTACTCATGCAAAATCTACACCTAGACCAAGAAGCTGTTGCTCAAACAGCAAGGAAACACTGCATGGTTCAAAATCAAGAAAGGAGTGCACCAGGGATTAACCTTTGTTCTATACCATTTCAATCTATATGCTGAACATATAATTTGAGAGGCTGGACTTTATGAAGAAGAACGTGGTAGCAAGACTGGAGGAAGACTCATCAACAACTTGTTTTATGCAGATGACACAATCTTGCTCATCAAAACTGAAGAAGACTTGAAGCACTTGCTACAGAAGATCAAGGATGGTCACCTTCAATATGGATTGCATCTAAACATCAAGAAAACAAAAATCCTCATCACTGGGCCATTAGGCAACATCATGATAGACAGAGAAAAGATTTTTGTTAACAATTTCACCTTGCCCAGATCCACAATGAACACCCTTGGAACCAGCAATCAGGAAATTAAAACATGAGCTACATTGGGAAAATCTGCTGCCAGAGTTCTTTATAGAATGTTAAATAGCAATGATATCAGTCTAGGGACTAAGGTCAGCCTGATCCAGGCCATAGTCTTTGCAATTGCTTACTGTGCATTTAAGAGCTGGACAATGACTAAGGATGACAGAAGAAGAGACGTCTTTGAGTTGTGGTGCTGGAGAAGAGTATTGAACACACTATGGACTGCCAAGAGAACAAATAGGCTTATCCTAGAAAAGGTAAAACCAGGGTGTTCCATAGACGCAAGGATTTTGACCCTTTGTCTCACATACTTTGTGCATACTTCCAGGAGGGACCAGTTCTTGGAGAAGGGCATCATGTTAGAAATGGTGGAGGGTCAGAGCAGAATCAATGAGGAAAGTTCAAGCTTCACTGAAGGCACTGGCAAAAAGTAAAACCCAGAAATTTATGGAATTTCATCTTACTTGGATCCAAAATTAACACTCTTGGTATAAGCAGCCAGGAAATCAAGAGACGTATTGCATGGAAAAGACTGTAGTTAGGGACCTCTCCAAATTATTGAGGAGTAATGATGTCAGTTTGAGGGCTAAGATGCATCTGATTCAGGCCATGGTCTTTCTGATCACTTGTTATGCAGCTGAGAGCTGGACAAGGAATAAGGATGACAGAAAAATTGATGCCTTTGAGCTGTGGTTTTGGAGAAGAGCACTGACCATCCCATGGACGGCCAAAAGCATAAACTTGTCTTGGAGAGGGTGCAGCCAAAGTGCTCTTTGGAAGCAAAGATGATGAGGCTTTGCCTCACATCCTTCAGGCATGTTGATAGGAGGGGCTGTTCTTTGGAGAGGGACAATGACGCTTGGAAGAGTGAAGGGTTGTCAAGGGAGAGGAGGACCCTTAACCAGGTGGATTGACATGGTGACTGCCACAATGGGCTCTAGTGTGTCAGGAAGTGTGAAGGTGGCACAGAATAGGTCAGAGTTCAGATCTGCTATTCATAGAGTTGCTATGAGTTGTGAGTTGTGTGTCGGCATTTAACAACAACCCTAGAATAGGACACCATTTTTGGTGAAATCTGGCATCAGAGAAAAATAGGAAGACCCTCAATGAGATGGACTGACATCGTGGCTGCAATGTGGGCTCAAACATTACAATTAATTAAAAAATGGTATAGGACTCTAGTATATAGATAGGGAAGTGAAACCGTCTCAAATGTTTGAAGCATGAAAAGGGGCCAGGCCTTGGAAAAAGACATCAAATATGTGAAGGATCAGAGAAAGAGGGGAAGACCCTCAACAAGATAGACTGACACAGTGATTGTAAAACAGGCTCGAGCATATCAGAGATTGTGAGGCTGGTGCAGGAGAGGGCCAGTTTCAGATCGGTTGTTTCTAGGGTCACTGTGACATGTAGTCGACTTGGTGGCACCAGCCCCATCAGCAACACAATATATTATCATGCTTTAACTAGCTCACCCAAAATTATACTTAATTAGAGCTCTGGTGGCCCAGTGGCAAGAACCTGCACTGCAATCCCAGAGGACTGTAGTTCAAATCCACCAGATGCTCTGCTGGAGAAGAAGAGACAATCTCCTCCTATACCAGTCAGATCCAATTTGATGGTACACACACACACACAAAAATAATAAAACAATAAAAAAATTATCCTTGATTAGAATTCTTCCATGTAGGCCAGTGTGACAAAGTACCTCCCTCGATATTTCCATGTTCACTTGAACACCTTTGTAATCCACTTCCCAACTCTAATAGATGATTTCTTTAAAATAGTATCTAAATCTGTTAATACCACATAATATGCTTTAAATAACCTAGTGGCTTCCTATCACTCTAAAAAGTGAGACACAAAATCCTGAATGTCACCTGCAGCTGCCCTGTATCCTCTCTAGCCTCGTCTCTCAGGCACCGCGTCTTTGCTCTCTGTCCCAGCGATCTCGTCTTCACTTTCTGTCTCAGCCAGCCTGTCCATGTTGCAATCTCTTGTAGCCCATGTTCCTCCTATCAGTCTACGCTATAACTTATGTTAGGTTTGTCTTCGCTTCCATGGCAAACTTGGTAGCTTAAAACAACATAATTGTATTCTTTTAGTGTTCTGGAAGCAACATAGGTTAACATATTGACAAATTCTGAAAATCTTTGGGGCTATTATTCATTCTATTGCAACTATACACCTTTCCTTCAGAGAGCTTATCACAGTTAGTAATAATATATTATATGCTTATTTGAGTCACTATTTTTCCTCATATTGTTGTTGTTATGTGCCGTCGAGTTGTTTGCGACCCATAGCGACCCTATGTACAACAGCCCTAAACCCTGCTCTATCCTGTGCCAATCTCATTGCCTCTGACAAACCCATCCCGATTACCCCAGTCACTGAATCAATCCACCTCACAGAGGGTCTTCCCCTCCTGCGCTGCCCTCTACCCTACCAAGCATGATGTCCCTCTCTAAAGACCTGTCTCTCCTTACAACATGTCCAAAGTATGTCACATGAAGCCCCAGAATCCTTGCCTCCAAGAAGTAGCCTGGTTTAACCCTCTCCAGGATGAATCTGTTTGTTTTCTTGGCAGTCCATGGTACATTCAATACTCTTCTCCAGCACCACAGCTCAAAGGCATCAATTCTCCTTCTATCCTCCCTAGCCATTGTCCAACTCTCTGATGCATAACAAGTGATTGCAAAGACCATGGCCTGTATTAAGCAGAAGTAGCTCGTGAGTAGAAACATGGTATCATGCCCACACCAGCCTGTCTCTACAAACAATGGTTATCAGGGAGGGATTTATAAAGAGTTTCAGGTGGGAAAAGGCATCGTGTTTATTCATCAAAATTCTGACACCAGATAGGATGAAAGGGTGGGCTTATGTAGGTGAGGTGTGTGTGCAAATATTTAAAATAGAGTCCATTGCAAAGGCCTCGGGGATTGAGTGGCATGTTGTGTCACTATTTCATTAAAGTTAATTATTTCTCTAGACTATGAACTTCAAAAGGATAAGGAGAGAGTTATGTTCATTACTGCAACCTCAGCATCTAGGTCAGTGCTCAGTAACTAGGCACTGAATGAAGAGATGCACTATTTTTCAACCATTAAAAGTTATTAACTAATCATTAAACAACAATAATAATAAATAATGATAATGAAGGTAAAGTAGCATCATGCTACATGGGAATGTCTCCTTTTAACATCCATTATTGTCTTCACTTTGTGCAATACATGAAAACCACGAAAGAAAAGAGTACAGCAGTGGATAAACTCAGAAAGAAGTGAACTGCCCGAGGGGTATGGCCTTTGGGTCAATGACCTACAGACAGGTGCCTTCAATAAGCTCTACCATAAGTTTTTAAAAATAAAAGTATTGCTTACTTAGTATCCAAAAGCTGCAGCTGGTGGTTACTGTCTCGGTGGGACATCTTCAGCTTGGTGCTTTGCTCTGATATTGAAAAGTCTACTTTGTTCAAAAGCTGAGAAATCTGGAAAAGAAACATCCCTTGTAATAAATCACATCTATATGCTTCAGGCAGGATGTCAGAAAACATTTTTTAAGTTTTATGGCACTGACAATTCAACCCAACAATTATAATAATTTCACTTATGATTTCACTTCATCTTTCCATTACAATTTTCTTTCACATAGACTTTAAAAATCAAGACCAGCAGTCCTACCACAGTACTCATGCACTGAGTGATGAGATGAGTAGCTTATACCCAGGACTACTACTCGCACCAGTTGGCACAAAATACTGTCATGTTTATCGCGGAATCTTTACCATCCACGTGGCTGCTGGCCCATCAATGTCCCAGATTTACCTTGGTATCAATTCAGGTCACAGAAAATACAATTTGTGGACTATCTCCTTTCCAGTGTTTTTTCTCCATAACTGTCTTATTTTCCTTGCGTTTTCACTTAAAAGTTAATATAAAAACAAGTTCTGCATGAAATGTCTATATTTTCTGCAAAAATTATGTTCAAGGTTTCTTATTTAACGATCCATGGAACAAGCATTTGTCAGCTCCAAAACAAAGAATAAGCATGTCTCTTCTAATGGATTTCTTTATGTGTTTGCCTGGCTTCACCACCAGGAAGCTCAAGATTTCCTTAACCTTGATTTTATGATGCAGTAATTCTGCCCTTACTCATTAAAAAGAAAAAAGAAATCAGCAGACTATATCTTTTATTTCTTTTTTTGCAAGCCCTCCAAGGTTTTATAATATCTGTGTTTTTCACATAAGTAGCTCTTTATTGGAAGTGGCTAGAATATATTTTAAATCTAATGAGCTGTCCCTACTTTAAGTGGAATGCTGTCAATTGTCACTGAATGGATTCCAATCCATGGCAACCCCATATGTGCAGAGCAGAACTGCTCTGCAGGGTTTTCAGAAGCAGATCCTCAGGCCTGTCTGTCGATGGGGCCTCTGGATGAGTTCAAACCACCAACTTTTTTGCCAGTAGTTGAGTGCGATGAGGATTACAGCCCTGAAAAACATGATAGAGCAATTCTACTGTTTTATAGGGTGACTATGAGTCAGAATCAATTTGTTAGCAATTGGAACCTACCTTCTAGCTTTATGCTAATTTGGTGGCCATATGTATGAAGGGCTATTGAAGAAATAGAGGGAAGAGAGATGCAATGAAAAAAAAAGCTTCTAATTTATAAAAATCTATGATGAGTGCCAGAGCCAGTTTCTCCTGTAAAAAATAATCAACACCATGTTTTTCTTAGCCAAGAACAAATTAGCAAGGCATACCTGTCCCTCTGCATCTTTAATTTTTGTTTCCAAGATGAGTTTGGCAGCTTGCTGTTCTTTGTTCAAGTGCTGAAGGCCCTCATAGGTGGTTTTGTGCTCTGCGGAGAGTCTGGCTATGCTGGCATCACATCTGTCCAGACAAACACCAATATCAATTCTTATTAAAGTTTAAAGACAGCCTGAAGCTTTCTCACATACTATAAAATGGATGGCCCCACTAAAAGAAACTGCACTATCCAACATCCTTGTTAACAGACGTCCCAGTGTTTTCAGAGAGCTGCATTTATTGTGGTTTTCATGTTAAGCCACAGGGATAGTGCTCAATAAGTCGACAAATTTTCCATCAAATGTAGCAGAGATTTTCAAATGCTCATCAGTACAAACTGTATGAACGTGAGTTCGATTCCAAAAAGCATAGTGTGCTGGATGTGGTCAGCCCCATCTGCACTCTTTCAAGGTCTGTGTCTCTCCTGGAGGCAACTTTTACTATATTTAAAAGTTACTCCGGACTTGAGCGTAAATGATCTGTAGTGCTGGTTGCTTCAAGTGGGGCCCAGAGCAAGGGAAGTTTCCACAGCTGGAACAAGCAGCATGCAGGCTGCGGTTTTACAAAGTAGCAGAGACAATGGTGATCAAGCCTCTATGGCATATACGTTGAGTATGGAGCCTCTGACAGGCACCAAACTCCTCTTCTAATAATAACTGCTATAGAGGATGCGGAGAGATAGGAACTCTCATACACTGTTCGTGGGATTGTAAAATGGCACCACCCCCCTGCAAGGCAGTTTGTTTGGTGTTTCCTCAAAAAGCTGGATATAGAAATCCCATATGAATTCCCAGCTATTAGGAATACACCCCAAGGATAGAAGAACTGAGACAAAAACAGATATTTGTACACCAATGTCCACAGCAGCATTATTCACAATCGCAAGAACATGGAAACAGCCCAAATGTCCAATCACAATCGTATGCATTGAGAAATTGTGGCACATTTTTCTCACAGTGGAATACAATGCAGCACTCAGGAGCAAATTTTTCTAAAAGTACTACCTAACTTGAGAAAGACTGGAGAGCATTATGCTGAGTTAATTAACTCAATCTCTTAAGGAAAAATACTGCATATGGCCATTATTTAAAAAATAGAAGGATAACTAGTAAAACAAGTATGGGCATCCAAAGAGGAAAGGGGTAGGAATAGAAGGATGAGGATGGACAGAGGGGAACTTATAGAGTCACACAAATTGGTGGGTGGAGGGAGGGGGTAAAGGAAATGGGAATGGGACATGGAAAGATGGGGTAGTGTTGGGCATAATCCAATGGTGATTTATTTTATAAAACACAATGAATGTGAATGATTGTATGAAACATAATGTGAGAGAAGGATAGTGCAAAATACAATGTATATGAACTTCGTATGTAAACCAATATCATTTTTTTTTAAAAAAGCAAAAAATAATAGCTGCTGGTTTGCTGTAGTAGAGGCTAAATGCTTCTGCATAGACCATTAAATGACTCTGCAATGTGAACAACCCATCTTAAACACAGTTAAAGATGGACATGTGAACAGCACTCCATCTTCGAGGGGCACAGGTAGATAGAGTCCAGGCTTAAGTACTTCCAAAGGCAAAAGTTACAGGAGCCCAGATGCATGTCCTACTCCTGCTAATGTTCTCCTTGAGCTCACACCTGCAGGCCCTGGAGGAGTTCGCAGTGACATTCTGAGGAAGGAAAAGTCAGATCTGAATTACATGCAGTCTTAGTCAATATACTGGTACTATCTGGAAGCTGAGTCTCTCAGGTCCTCTAGGGGTAGCCCTAAATCATACTAAGAAAGGGAAACTTGGAGAGTAGACGGTATTTTAAACTATATAGCTGGAGGTTAATTTTGCCTAGAAGAGATAGTGAGCCAGTCACTAGAGGTTGGCTAAACTGCCAAAGACTTGGGAAAAGCATTGGAGGATTGGTAATGAAGGTAAGAAAGAAGCATATAAAAGAATCCCTCAGAAATTACCAAGTCAGCCTATTAGTAAGTCAGTTATGGGCTGCTAAGTGACAACATAAAGAGCTAGAATGGTGTCGTCCATAGTGCGCTGCATTGCTCAGCAAAAGGCCAGGCAACTCCAGCAGTTTCAATCTACCAGCAGCTCCCTAGGGGAAAGCTGTTCAGACTCACGACTTCAGAAATCCAATGGACAGTCACTATGAGCAGAAATTGACTCAGAGACAGTGGGAAGGAGCAACACACTTCAGAGGCGGGGCACTGTCCTCCAACATGTCGTACGTGCTAAGAACAAATAACAAAATATGGTGATGTTTTATTCCACAGTCAGGAACACAGTTCCAGGAATGAAGAAGTGGCTATTCTTAGTATTATCACTAATGATCCATTTATAAAATATTTACTTCTCTTCTTGACAGCTTGAGATCTACTGGCTTCCCAAGTGGACAATGTTCTCACCAAAAGTCAACAATGATTTCAATAAATTGGAAGTTGTCACTACCACCTGTCTACTTTGGTCTCTACAGGCTACTGAACCAATAAGCAAAAAATAAAGTTACTGTACCGGATGGAGAACTGATGATGATTATTAAGGGCACTCGGAGCCACTCAATGGCAACAAAACTCATGCAAGTCATTCTCTTAGTACTTTATGACAAGCAGTGAAAATTACAGGAAGGTTACAGTAAAGCCAGTACACACAGGTTCTCAATGATTCAGACCCTTCAGAAATGACGGGTTGAGTCACCCCACCATATAGTGAAACCTTACAACCAACTGGAGCTGTCACTGAAGTACGGAACATTGAGTGGGTAGCAGAGGAAACAAGTTATAATTAGCATTCTGTCCCCACAGTCTGCTTTAGAAATGAGAATGTTATGTATATATTCTCCCTTGTTTTAGATACATATACTTGTATGTTGTAACCAGGTTTTTATTTTGTTTTCAAAATTATTTCTCCCCTTCTACTGTATGATGGTAGTTTAACCTATGAATTTCATTTAGGTCTGGGATATCAATAGGTATTTGTGAATGAACAGAAAATGAATAACCACTTACAGTATTAGCTTAATAGCTGGCTTTTCTAGCCAGTACCTTAACCCTTTTTGGTCTCCAGCTACCATAACTGCAGACACATGGTCTTGCAAATCACAAAGAGCTGTGGGGAAACAACAAAT